TGAAACAACAGCGAGCTGACAGGGAACTGCTGATATCCCTCTAAATATCTGCCGCGAATAGCAGGTCACTCACTCACCTTGTCCTCGCGTATCCATTGCGCTTGAAGTTACGAGACGTGTTTTTGAGATAACTATTTCGTCAACGAGGGTAGCTGCATTACTGGCTGGGACATGAAAGTCTCGTGGAATGTGATTACATGTACTGGACATCTCTGTTCTGAGGCAAGGGAAGTAAAGAATTAGATGCGAGTTGAGAGCGGATTAAGAGCAATGATGTCTGGATAAACCTGGGAATAAATTGTTATTTCAGGGATTTTGTGAAGTAGTGATTAAAAAGGGAGAGAGAAATTTGGCTACATGAAATAAGTCGTAAACAGATTATAAAGTTGTCCCTGTCCTAAGCTAATTAAGCACTAAGCCATGAAGACATATGGGGGAATGGATGCTTAGATCCATATTTCTTGACCTCGGCAATAGGTGGATGTGAGTGGTCAGCTTCACGCCTCGGTCGCTTTACCCACAGGGAGAGAACTACCAGTACGCAATGGATAAGAGGCTGAGTTGGCCCCAAGCCGGTCTAGATGACGTGGAGAAGAGAAAATTCATAACCGTACTGGGACTCGAACTCCGAGCCCTCGGGCATCCAGCCCGTAGCCAGTCTCTATACTGTTCATATACTCAAAGCGTCTTTAAATAACACACAATAAGCCGTTTTGTAATTAATCTTAAAATTCACAAACACGAATATGGACACACATAGTGGATTGACCTTCTGAGAAGTGGAAGTAATGTAATTAATATTTAAATACTCAGTTCCGACCTCACAGAACACACAGCGTGTTTATTACAAAGATCAGCCGGTTAATGCTGTTTGGTGAAATTATCGCTGTTTACTGTTAGAATCCTGCTGAACCCGTGAATAAACTGCGTGGGTGGACAGAAGAGTTCCTTCTTGATGATAATGCAGGTGGTATATCTACTGTCTGCCTAAAACAACTTTGAGGTTACGTCACATTTTTATACGTCATTATGCAAGAAAGGTCCCGTGTGTTCTAGATCTCCTGTGTGAGGATTTTGGTTCACATCATGTGATGGAAAGAGGATCTAGTAACTTTCCAATGGTGACGTCACCATCTGAGTCCATGATATAAAGGTAAAAGGTAAAGTTATCCCTGTAACAGGCCGTGAAGGACCATAGGGTTGTGAGACGTTGAGGCTCCCACATTTCCTCTAGACAATCAGCTCATAGATGGCGGTGAGGTTGTCAGCCTTACGTGCCGGCCGCCCTTTACACCCAGAAAGACTCCTGGTACTCATTTCTGTTAGAGGCAGAGTCGAAACCAGGGCCATAGCTCGGCTGGAAAGCTTAGATAAATTGAAAATATCCACCTCATCGGGACTCGAAACCGCGACCTTCCGGCTTGTATCGTAGTGCGTCAAACAACTATGCTACCGCGTGCCCCGAGTTGATGATGTAACGTTGAAGTTGTTTTAGACACAGTTTACACGCCTGAGTGTTTTAAAGGATTCAATGCTTCAAGAACACGCGCTCCACACGCGATCCAAGCGAAGGGCTAAAAACACAGGCCTCGCTGTAATTATCCTCCGTTCTCAGTGCTGTTCTAGGCGGGGTAGGGGGTGCTTCAGGTAAATAAATAACAATTAAGACCAAAGTAATTATTTTTCAATAATCTAGTTATACAGAGAAAGTTTTGAGACTGGAAATTAGGAAACAAACAGTAGCCAACAAAATGAATGAAATGTTCCAAGCAAAAGATTGCTGTGTCTTTAACAGACCGCGATGAGTTTCTTGAAGCGTTCAGATATATTACATTGAGTACACACCTCTCTATAAAGGTTCTGCGTGCAATAATATCGGTACGTATCTGGTACGCTCCTGTTTCAAAAGGAGGTTTCACCACACATATACAATTGAGTCGTGGCCCGAAGATGTATTCTGTTGAATCAAGGGCCAAATAAATTTGTGCATCATTAAAACTAAATACATGTGCACGGTTATATCGAGTCACTGTACTGTATGTCATATATTTGGCACTTTGAAGAATAAGAAAAAAAAGTAGTTTATTTTGTACATACATCAACACCTCACTCTGGCTTAAACGTAACGGTCACTTCATCAAACAATTGAGCGAGAGAAGGATTTTCAACTGTGTTCTTCATTATTTACACGGAAAACACTGATATATAATACAAGTTCGTCACTTATGGGTCACTTTGTAACTCGATTCCGGTAACCAAGTTACGGTCCACCTTGCAACACTGTCACTAATCTTGCTGGAGGTTCCTGGCAATCAGTTCTGAAGAGTTCTCGCAATGGAATGTTACAATTTGCGTTACTGAACCCCTGGTTTTCGTCTAACTTCCAAAATTCCAGATATAATGTAACTTTTCGGAAACTGCATCTATTTCTGTTCCAAGACGAAGAGATGGGGGCATTTTATTCCATCGATACTACTGGAAAGACATCACCGCAATTACTGGAACATTGGTTAGGTGTTTTAGAAAAAAAGTTGATCTCAACTAATGGACTATTCAATGAGCCTCTTAGACAGAGCTGATATGAAATACTACACCCGGGGTTGGATCTGTCAGGGCTAATCTCCGTTATTGGACCACTAATTGGATCTGTTAAAAAAGAAACAGGCTCAATCAATGGGCCACTGGACCGTACTAAATAATTTTCGCACATTTTCAGTGAGAACGGAAAGAGATGGAGTTTCCGAGACGTTTGAGCTCTGCTCGGTGTACCAGAGGATGGACAAAGTCCAGAACTCAAATAACAACGTTCAATAATATTTTACAGAAAAGTGAGGAAGGAAGGCGAATGCAAATCGCGTGAATCAACGAGACCGCTAAGTGTGACGGACACATGGAGGTGAGCCCTATCTCTCGTTGTGACGCCCAGAACAGAAGTGAAGCAGCCTGCTCGGCGCAGTATTTCTTCCAATGATATGACACAGAAATATCCTGACAGTTCTGTCATACTGCAATGTTGGTAAGACTGATCGGACGATGGATACAGCCTTCCATTGCGAAGTCAAGGCCAAGAGCCGGTACTGATCGTAAGAGCAGGCGCACGAAACGTATTTAGCTAAATCATTTTATACAAGACAGCAACGTTAAAGTAACGCTATCCCTAACAGGCTGTGGAGGCCCACAGGGCTGTGAGACGTCGAGGCTCACACATTTTCTATAAAATCGGCTCACAGACGGCGGTGAGGTTGTCAGCCTTACGCGCCTGCCGCCCTTAGTCCCAGGAAGGTTCCTGATACTCATTTCTGTCAGAAGCTGTGTCAACATCAAGGCCATAGTGCAGCTGGAAGGATTACCGCAATTGAAAAAAAAAAGATCTAATCGGGAATCGAACCCACGACCTTCTGGCTTATAGCATAGTGCCTGAACAAACTACGCTACCGCGTGCCACCTCTGTAAAATAGTTTAATACATTGTTCTCAGCGGATTATAAAACAATTCTGATTTCGGGATTTAAAACTGTGTAAGAAAATAAAATAAATCTAATATAAGTAGGGCAGAAATGTCAATAAGTGTTACGAGAAGGCCTGCTAATATCAGCGTTCTATTACTGTCAGCAGTTTGCGTACAGCTTCCTTGGATATGAGAACAAATTGAGTTTAATTACTCATTGGAAATGTGTACCAACCATACCGCCTTAATGAAGTTCGCCATAGCAACATGAATTTGCTGTTCCGTGAACCTGAAATAACTGATAAGCCGTACTTAAGATGTCCAACTTCTTGTTTGGTTGGGGCTGTTTTAATTATTTATACTTCACTTGGGGAAATTAGGAAAAGGAAGAAAACAAACAAGCATTCCATTTCTTCCATGCACAGGATTATTTGCTCAATTTCGTTAGTATCTCGTTCGCATTTCAACTCATCCTTTTTCTACGAATGACCGCGTCATAGCTCAAGCGGTTAGTCGCTGGCTTCCAACCGCGGCGGCCCGGGTTCGATACCGGGTGTGGTCAAGTTGGATTTGTAGTGGACAAAGTGACGCTGGGGCAGGTTTTCTCCGAGTACTTCGGTTTCCCTTGCCAATCTTCATTCCACCAAATTCTCCATCATTATAATCACCCGGGGCAGGCTACAATAGGCCAATCGGTGGCCGCCGTGCCGAGTGGACCCAGTTGGACTCCACCCCCCAATAAGCGAATTAAAAAAAAGTTGTACGAATGGATAGAGGCGTTCAGGGAAAACCTCAAAAGCGCAATGTCTGTATTATTTGGAACATGATCGGGCCCTTGCTGACCGATATCTGCTTGTACGTGTTCTCCAAGACACGAGTGCAGAACCTGCACGGTCGCAACATCACGAAAGAAGCGATGCCGTATGTTGAAGAGCAGGGAATACCGAGTTAGTTCGGAAAGGCCAAAGCCTCGGAGGAATCATTCAAGAAGCCAGCAGAAGCAGATGCCAGGCTCGGGTACACGCAGTTACAGCCCAGAGAACCGTAAACAAGGTAAAGGTATCCGTGAAACAGGCCGTGGAGACCATTAAGTTCGTGAGATGTCGAGGCTCCCACATTTTTCTAGACAATCGGCTCACAGATGGCGGTGAGGCTGTCAGCCTTACGCGCCGACCGACCTTTAATCCCAGGAATATTCCTGGTACTCATTTCTGTCAGAGACTGAGTCGACCCCAGGGCAGTACGGCTGTAAGGATTAGGAACGAACGAACTCCGTTGCTTTAGTCCGTAAGGGAACTATACCGCCGCTTGTCCGCGAAATTAGTGCCAACTTTAGCGGATACAGGGTGACGTGTAGTCAGCGCAACAAATCCCCACGGCCATTAATTTCGGTTTTCTAGATCGGAGCCGCTACTTTTCCATTCAGGTAGCTCCTGATTTATCCTCACGAGGCTGAGTGGATCCCGTTTGAGACTCACTACTTCTTAGAAAATCGGTAGTGCCGGGAATCGAACCCAGATATCTGGATCTGTAGCTCGGATCTCTGACCACTAGACCACAGAGGCGGTCCTGAAAGGATTAGATCAGTTGTAAAATGCAATGAGTTCATCGGGAATCGAACCCGCGATAATCCGGCTTCTAGTTTATTGCAGTAAACCGAGGCTGATATTTTCAGTATGGCTGTGTTTTTATGTTTCATTTTCTAAATTGCAAAGAAATTTCTTACGTAGTATAATTCCGTGTCATTTGTCTTCGTATTAATTGACTTAAAAACGTATGGTAATGTAAGTAAGAAAAGCAGAAATACCCGTTTTTTTCTGCCAGGATAAGATCATCTTCCTTGTCAGTATAACAATATATAGTAACTAAAACTTTAAATAAGAGACTGATATTAAAATTAAGAATTTTAAATTTACCGATGTAATTACAAAGGAAGTTCGGAAATGAGGATTCTAATAGCACCCAAAAGTTTTCCCTCAACACTTTCACATCACTATAACAGCCGTGGCTACCGTATATACTGGTAAAAGTATGGAGGGAATTTCTTAATATTTCTGTGTTCTTCTTTATTAGGTTCGCGATAGGATATTCGAAACTGACATGCCAGGCCATCAGTTTGGTGCGTTCCTCCAGTTCCTCTCTGTCATATTACATATATTACATATACACAAACGAACTGAGAAATATCAGATCTTGAGTGGTTGAAGCATGAGTGAATGTGTGGTGATATGCTCTTCATAGCAGACAGGGGAAGCATTTCTGAAACACAGGTTCTGTATCTCAAAGAAACTTTAAACGAAGAAAACTCCATTGACTTAACATATCATATTGTACAGCACAATGTGACCCACAGTTCTTCATACGGGATCCATAATGGTGCTAATATTGACCGTGGAACATAGCGTAACTCTGTGATGAATTTTGCATCACGAATATACCTAACGGTATATCAAGAAACTAGGTAGGTTAAACTTGTAGCATGAAACGAAAGAGAAATTCTCACGATTCTGATAATATTTTGATAAGGACGAATAACTGTAATTCTCCCCAAAACTGTAACAAGCACACGGCAAGTCCTGTGTTCTGACTTCCCAAAATCAACGGCGTTTTCCCTGAGCACGCTCACTTCCTGCAGCAACGGGACCTAGTTGAGGTGTCAGCAAGCGGACCGAATGTTGAGCAGTTCAGTGGCCGGTCAGGAGCATCAGCAGGCCGGTCAGCATGAGGCGTGGCGCTGACCACCTCAGCACAGTGGAGCAGCCTACAACAATGGCACACAAGAACACGAAATATTAAAATTTAGCCACTGGAACGCGCAAAGCAAATGCAAGCAACAAGCGAATGATTGCTGTACTAAGCCGTTCCTATGTTAATTTCCTAAGCAAATGTTATGCAGTGCATTTAAATAATATTTAAAATTCAAAATACTACTTCCGGGACGCAATCTCTGTAGTCTCTCCTGTTGAAATTCGCCGACTTTCGGAGTAACGTAAGGGAAGGTAAGGCTATCCCTATGCTTAGTTAACTAAGCACTATATCATGAAGACGCAGGGGGGAGTGGATGTATAGTTTCATTATTTCTGACTTCGGAACTAGATGGAGCTGAATGATCAGCTTCACGCCTCGGCCGCTTTACTCCTGAGGAAACAGCCTCCGGTAATCACTGTATAAGAGGCCGGCTGGGCCCTAGAGCCGGTCTGGACACTGTGATGTAGAAAAAATCTTGCCATTCGGGAATCGAACCCGTACCGTCTAGCTTGTAGCCCGTCGCTACACCGACTGAGCTATCCCGGCTGCTAGGAGGAACGTACTGCTTCCATCTTCAGGACCAAAATATATGCCCAATAATGAACCAGCAAGAAGTAGGCAGCAGAAAGCCAGTCCAAAGAAATGAAGTTCGGCAGAAATTCGCGTTCTTTGAAGCAGTTGCAGCTTCGTATCTTTCGAAAATTGAGAGTGAAAAGGATGTCTTTTTTTGGTAACCATTAGACAATCCACTCCTCTCTCCCTCCATAGAATCTTGTCTGCGACGGGGCTTGCTTGTAGCAAGACTGATCTACAGCCCGCACAGCCAGGGAAATCCCGGACTTTCCCAGGGCGCCTCATTTCCATAGCAACGGAGCTCTCCTATTCCTCCCAGCCTCCAGATCGCGCGCTGAAAGATGCCCACGTAGGGCCTCGTCTAAAGGAAGACACTTTATTCATCCTTAATGCTACGAAATCTACATGGCTGACAGGAAGACATCGGCAATTTCTCGCACAGAACGTATCGGTTGCTTCTCGAAGCGTGATCACTCTCAACCGGGGCACGTCCCCTGTCGTCTGTAACATTTTCACATGTTAGAGCGACTCTCGCAGGAAGTTTGGATTGGAAATTGGATTTATTGACCACTTACAGGTCGTAACTACAAATAACTGTAACAGACTCACTGAGTTACACACTTCAAATATCACTGTAACTGCAGCACACATAAAGTATTCTCAATCCACATTAGCTCGTTTCTGGTAACGGCTTCTAACAGTGGCCATTCCTCTGGTTCCATTCAAAGTCCTCTCTTAATGGCGGCTCCCTTCCAACTGTCTAACACTTCAAAGTCAACGTTCCTTTACGACTGGAGGTTTACCGTCCATCAGTTCGTCTTGGGGTCAAGCACCTTCAGATACTTGGCCGGAGATTTTTTCAACTGGATCCTTGCGTTAACAGTTCTTATGTAATATCCTCTCTGACGAGAAGATGGGGTTGTCTCTCATGAATACGCTTGGCCTTTCGTCAAGTGTGCATTTCGCACATATAGCGTGTTATGGAAATCTGTCAGTAGAGGCTTTGCAGAGAAGATCATGCCTATCTCACGTATCTTATGCTACAACGGCAGCTTGCCATTTGAACGGTCGATGGCTTGCCCACTGCACAAGTTTAACCCTCTTATATTTTTGTCTAATTCTCGCTACAGTTGTTCTCCTTGTAACCCCTTGGCACGGACCACCCGTAAACCACAGTTTCTAGCAGTACCTCAAATGTTGCTAGCGGACTTTTGCCGCGGGAACCTGTTTGTTTGCGATCGTTCCATAGAAATGAATATTGTTTCGTAGCCGTTCGTCAGCAACGGCTGTTTCTCTGGCTCCACAGTTTTGTTTTGCGCATACAGGTATGCCACAATATCACTAATTTCTCTAAGGGTAGTGCTCGTCGTGCTGTTTGTATATTCGTCGTTTCCATGGAAACAGAACGCATTTTAATATGGTTTAAATTTCGATAGAACCAGAAGATGAAAGTAATAAAAGGCAGTGTTTCAGCCGGTACATTTGGAACGAAGAGGGATAAGGCGGAGGAGGTTGGAGAAAACTGCATATCGAGAGCTTCATAACTTGTACTCTTCGCCAAGTATAATTAAAACGATCAAGTCAAGGATCATGAGATGGGCAGGGCATGTGGCAAGCATGGGAGAGAAGAGCACTGCATATCGTGTTTTGTGAGAAAGCCAAAAGGAAAGAGACCACTAGGAAGACCAAGACGTAGGTGGGAAGATAATATTAAAATTGATCTTAGAGAGATGGCATGGGATGGTATGGATTAGATTGATGTGGCTCAGAATAGGGACCAATGGAGGGTTCTGGTGAATACGGTAATGAATCTTCGGGTCTCATAAAATGCTGGGATATTCTTGAGCAGCTGCGCAATTGGCGGCTTCTCAAGAAGGGCTCAACTCCATGGAGTTAGTCATTATAGTGTTAGCCTTTTCATAGGAAAGGTAATTGTAAACTATTGTTATTTCGACTGGTAGAGCGAGCTGTCTTCCTTCTTTATTTTTTATTGTTAGTGGGGTGGGACCAAGTCCCTTGTACTGCCGCCACTTCTGGCCTATTGTACCAGCCCCATATGATAGGTGAGGGTGATTGTGGAGCATTTAGTGGAATGAAGATTGGCAGGGGAAACTGAAGTACTCGGAGGAAACCTGCCCCAGCGCCACGTTGTCCACCACAAATCCCACTTTACCAGACCCGGGATCGAATCCGGGCTGCCGCGGTGAGAAGCCAGCGACTAACCGCTTGAGCTATGGCGCGGCCTTCTTTCTACTTACCTACTTACATATTTACTCATGGAGCTGAGCTCTTCTGGAGGAGCCGCCAATTCTGCAGCTACTCAAGAATTTCCCAACCTTTTATGGAACCCGAAGGTTCATTAGCGCGTTTAAAAGAGCCCTCCACTGCTCCCTATCCTGAGCCAGATCAATCCAACCCATACCGTCCCATCCTATCTCTATAAAACCCATTTTAATATTGTCCACCCACCTATACCTTGGTCATCCCTGTGGTCTCTTTCCTTTTGGCTTTCCCACCAATATCCTATATGAATTCCTCGTCTCCCCCATTCGTGTTACATGCCCTGCCCACCTCGTCCTCCTTGACTTGATCATTTTAATTATACTTGAAGAAGAATACAAGTTATGAAGCTCCTCATTATGCAGTTTTCTCTAACCTCCTGTCACTTCATCTCTCTTCGGTCCAAATATTCTCAACACCCTGTTCTCAAACACCCTCAGTCAGAGACAAAGTTTCACACCCATACAGAACCACAGGCAAAATTATAGTTTTGTATATTCTAATTTTTATGTTTTTGGACAGCAGACGAGAAGACGAAGGGTTCTGGGTTGAATGGTAGCAAGCATTACCCGAGTTTAATCTCCTCTTAATTTCCTCCTGAATAAGGTTTCGATCTGTTATCGTTGTTCTCAAATATCTGAATTGTGCCATATTTTCAAAACCTGTTTCCAATCTTTATGTCATGATTTTGCCCTGCATTTTGGTGACGAGACAGTAACATATACTTAGTTTTCTCAGTGTTTACTTCTAGACCAACCTCCTTACTTGCGTCAATTACAGTTTGTGTGTTTTTCTTTATGGTATCTACATTATCACCCAGTAGATTCACATCATCGGCATGTGGAACAGCTGATGTGTCCCTGCTGTCTTTCTACAAATTTTCAAATTCACACAGCGTGCACATTCTTGAAATCGTAATTTCAGAATATCTCTAGGGGGCTGTAACGTGTAAGTACGGGTCAATGTCAGGGCCATCCATTGGAAGTGTAGCTACTTTGAAATTTTCTCGCTGGAGTTTCAACTAGATTCTGCAAGAGGTAACACGATTATTCGTCGTGTGAGGAGTACTTCAGATCTCGTCGCTGTGCGCCGCCACAGATGCAGAACATGTCCTCCTGGACCTCTGCATCGCGTCCACACGTAGCAGCTATAAAACACAACACAAAGAGTAGGTTGCCAAGAAAATACAGAGAGCCCGTCCCTGTATGATTTAAGGACTAGGGTTCCAGTCCCATGGGCCAAGGAACGTTCTTATTTTAAGAAATGCACGATGATATTTTTATTTCATTATGCAGCCAACGTCGCTCGGTCCCCGAGGAGTGATACGGGACCATAGGTTTGCGAAAACGTTGCCTTGTAAGTGGATATGAAAGAGAACAAAGACTTTCTTACAAACGAATTGTTTATTTTGAAAAGGGCACGAGTGATTAACTCTTTAAAGACTGAATTTAATCTAAATAATATATAAATATTATGTTCATACCTCACAAGAAACACATTACGTCTCCGCTACAGAGACCAGCCGGTTAGTGTTATTTAGGGAAACAGTCGGTGTTTATTGTGAGAACATATGGAACACAGATAAACTCTGGGCAGAATGCGGAGTTTATTATTGTCACGATTTAAGGGTGTTACTATAGACGGGGTATGGATTGGTGAATGGATTTATTGGACCTTTATACAACTTGTTACAACATTTCACAAATCATTCTCTTCGACTGGACACACTCGACTTATGACCACACTCAACTAATCCACTTCTTCTAGAGTCAGAGTCAGTGTTACTTTAAGACTGGCGGTTCACCGCCAATCACTTCGTCTTGGCAACAAGCCATTTGGGACTCACGACCAGAATTTTTTCCAACTGAATACTTGCTTTCATAGTCCTTATGTAACATCCTCTCTGACAAGAGGAAGGGGTCTGTAGTTTAAATTTGTTGCTGAACCTCGCCAGCGCAGTCATTCACAGGTTCGACTCCAGCGGGACACGTGACCACATTTTACTCTGTCAAATTTGAGACCCCCCCAACCTGGAAGGCCAGGTCCCCATATTTATATCCCCCAGGCACAGGGTGGCCCGGTTATAGTCCCAGACACTCTCCCTTTTCTTTGCCTCCTACGACTTACAGGGCTACGGTTGAAATATTCGAACCCGACTTC